TTGCGTGTTTATTGGGTAAGACCGGAGGTCAGTGGGAGAAGAGTTTGCGCTGGAAAAACCGCTTATGGAACGAATTTGGTCATTTAAAAACGAATATTTTTGTTTACGACGTTGCTGATGCTCTTTCATAAGCAATTTCGACACCGAACTAAGCGTTTTTTTAGGTACTGAAATTCGTATCTTTATTTCAACTTGCTAACTAATTTCGTTGGAAACCTGTGGGATTCAAATGTGGTTTGGTTGCTTGAGGTCAGGTGAAGAAGACGTTGAGGTCGGTGAGAGTCCGTAAGAAGAGGTTTTACGTTAGGGATGAACAGGTTCTCAGAGGGGTTGTAGCAATTAGTAGAGGATTTCCTTCTATAATTATTTCGTTGTAACGTTAGAATCCGGCTTGGGGAGTTCTGAAACCGTATCTATGAAAATGAGAACGGAAATTAATTTGCTCACGAAATCGTGGCTATTTTTCTTAGTATTACAAAGATGATGACGTCATCCGTAGATTATATTGTTTAGTGTGGTTCTAAGTCTAATTTTGTTTTAACTTATAAGAGGTAATTGTGTTAGAATCATAAACATTAAAATTAGTAATGTTGGTTGCATAACCACTGAATTTTAGGAGTGGGTTGATTCTGTCGTTTTAAAATTAAAACACAGCCGCAATTTTTTTATATCATGAAAATAGTTACTTTTTTCTCACTTAAGTTAAAATATTTATTCTCAATTTTGTCAGACTTAACTGTACCTAACAACAATATTTTTGTTAAATAAATATCAATGGTTTCCCCAAAGAACATTTATTGCAAAAGTAAACAACGAAAAAATTGGTCGAAAATTATTTCGACAGAACTTCCCTGGCTTCTCAAGTACAGTCCAATAAATGCTGCTTCTTTGAAAAATTATAAATTAAATTAATTAAATCCATTCCCAACAAAAATTTACCATTTTGAAGAACTTTTAAGTTTGTTGTTGTGAAAAAAAGACTGTGTATTAAGAAAAAAAAGGCAAAATATAAGACCCGCCCACCCCCCCTATCTCGATTGTGATTATTTTTTTATTCGTTGTGAGTCAGAGGGCGAAGCTCAGCTGCAAAATCCTCATTCCTCTACCAGAAATTACCATATGAAAAAACTTAACAAGTTCTTAAGTAATCGTATTGTGTAAGGAAAATTGTATGTATTAAGTAAGAAAGAAAGCCACATGTTAAGCCCCACCTATACCCGCCCCGATCCCAATTGTGGCGAATTTTTCATTGGTTGTCAGATCGAGGGGCGGAGCGTAATTTCAAAATCGATAAATTTGCCAATTTGAAAATGTTTTAAGATTCTTGTTATGAAAAGAAGACTACGTTTAAGAAAAAAAATTGGTCGAAAGTTATTTCGACAGAACTTCCCTCGCTTCTGAAGTACATTCCAACAAATACTGCTTCTATGAAAAATAACAAAATTTGATTTTAAGGAGGTTTTACCTTCTTAAAAAAAGAACGTTGGGAGCCCTGAGAAGACTTAATATTCTTTAAAAAAACCACTTGGGGTCCCCGTGAAGGTGTCACATTCTTAAAAAAAAAAGTGGGGACCCCTCAGAATGTTTCACATTCTTCTTCTTCTTTTTAAAAAGGACAGTTGGGATACCCGAGAAGGTTTCAGATTAAAAAAATCATTTGGTGCCCCCGAGAAGGTTTTACATTTTTAAATAAGCCAGTTGGGACCCCCGACAAGGTTTTACAAAAAAAAAAGAAATTTTTTGGAGCCCCCGAGAAGGTTTTACATTAAAAAAAATCATTTAGGGCCACCGAGAAGGTTTTACATAAAAAAATACATTTGGGGCCACCGAGAAGGTTTTACATTTTTAAAAAGGACAATTGGAACCCCCGAGAAGGATTCACGTTGTTAAAAAAAATAGATTTGCGACCCCCGAGAAGGTTTTACATTGTTAAAAAAGACAGTTGGGACCCTCGAGAAGGTTTCACATTAAAAAAATCATTTGGGGCCCCCGAGAAGGTTTTACATTTTTAAATAAGCCAGTTGGGACCCCCGACAAGGTTTCACAAAAAAAATAAATTTTTTGGAGCCCCCGAGAAGGTTTTACATTAAAAAAATCATTTAGGGCCCCCGAGAAGGTTTCACATTCTTAAAAAACCATTTGGGACCCCCGAGAAGGTTTTACATTGTTAAAAAAGACAGTTGGGACCCCCCGAGAAGGTTTCACATTAAATAAATCATTTGGGGCCCCCGAGAAGGTTTTACATTTTTAAATAAGCCAGTTGGGATCCCCGACAAGGTTTCACATTCTTAAAAAACCATTTGGGACCCCCGAGAAGGTTTTACATTGTTAAAAAAGACAGTTGGGACCCCCGAGAAGGTTTCACGTTGTTAAAAAAAATACGCTTGGGGCTCCCGAGAAGGTTTTACATTTTTAACAAAGACGGTTGGGACCCCAGAGAAGGTTTATTCTTAAAAAAAAAACATCTGAGGCCCCCGAGAAGGTTTTCCAATTTTAAAAAAGACAGTTGGGACCCCCGAGAATGTTTCACATATAAAAAGACAGTTGGGACCCCCGAAAAAGTTTCACATAAAAAAAATCTTTGGGGCCTCCAAGGAGATCTTACATTAAGAAAAAGACAGTTTGAACCCCCGAGAAGGTTTCACTTTCTTAAAAAAAAACATTTCTGGCCCCCGAGAAGGTTTTACATTTTGAAAAAAGACAATTGGGACCCTCGAGAAGGTTTCACGTTATTAAAAAAATACGTATGGGGTCTACGAGAAGGTTTCACATTTTTTAAAAAGACAGTTGGGACCCCCGACAAGGTTTCATCCAGAAGGTTTTACATTAAAAAAATCATTTGGGGGTTCCGAAAAGGTTTCATATTCTTAAAAAAACATTTGTGGAAATTTTTACAATTTTAAAAAGGACAGTTGGGACTCCCGAGAAAGTTTCACATTAAAAAAAATCATTTTGCGCCCCGAGAAAGTTTTACTTTTATTAAGAAAGACAATTGGGACCCCCGAGAAGGTTTCACGTTTTTAAAGAAATAGGTTTGAAGCTCCCGATAAGGTTTAACATTAAAAAAAATCAGTTGGGACCCCCAAAAAAAAATGATCGAAAGATGTTTCGACAGAACTTCCCTCGCTCCCGAAGTACAATGAAACATGTCAAGTGGTAAATTGTTGTAGGAAGGATTTAATTCATTTAATTTATAATTTTTCAGTGTGTTCAGCAGTATTTGTTGGAGTACTTGAGAAGCCAGGGAAGTTCCGTCGAAATAACTTTCCAATTTTTCAACGTCTCCCTTTTGGGATTTGTGTTTAAATATTTCGATTTTTCAATTTTCAACTTTTGGCGTTTCTAAATTTTTAGATTTTTCGATTTCTCAATTAATCGATTTTTTAATTTTCCCAATCTTTCGATTTTTCGCTTTCTCAACTTATCATCGATCTTTTGATGTTTCGATTTCGCGTTTTTTCAATTTTTCGATTTCTCAGTTTTTCGATTATTCTTCTTTTCGATTATTCAATCTTCCAGTTTTACAAAATTTTGTTTTTTTAATTTCGATTTCCTTAATTTTTCGATTTGGAATTTTTTTCGTTCCTTCAAATTTACGACATTGAACTTTTCGAATTTTAATTTTTTAAACTTTTCTATTTTCTAATTTTTCGTTTCCGTTTATTTTCTTTATTCTATCTTTCGATTTTTTTCCTTATCGTTTTTAGATTTTTCGATTTTTCAATTTTTGGATTTTTCGCTGTCTCAATTTCTCAATTAATCGATTTTTTAATTTTCCGATTTTTCAATTTCTCTGTTTAAATTTTGGAATTTTTCAAGATTTCGATTTTCAAATTTTTAGATTTTTCGATTTTTTGACTTTCTACTTACTCGATTTTTCAGAATTTTGCGAGTTGTTTCTCTCGACACGTTGAACTCTTACTCGTCAATTATTTCGTTTTAAAAAAAAGTCGATTCCAAAGTAAAAAAAAATTTAATCGAAAAACAAAGATGTCAAGAAATTGAAACAAAAAACTGAAAAATCGAAAAATGTATATGTAGTTTAAAAAATCTAAAAATTGAAAAATAGAAATACCGAAGAACTGAAAATCTAAAAATGGAAACATCAAAAAATAAAAAAAATCGATGTTTCAGTTTTTCAGTTTTCGATTTCGATTCGGATGTTAAACGAAAAAATCGAAAAAAATCGCCATAGCTATTGTTTACGAGATGTTCAACTAATTATATCCAAATATAAAATAACAAAAATAACTCTGCTTAAAAAACACTTAATAAATATTTTCGCTGATTAGACCACATTCCAGTCCTGCACCTAATCCGCTCTTTTACAAGCAATTTTCGCAATACACTCACCTTTGCTGAACTTCAATCTGTGTTGGACGAAACCACGTAAACAGCCACCTACAAAATTAGCGTTTTATTCAAAAAAGGTGTTATGTCTTAGTTTGTGCCACATTCATTTTTTCGACAACAACAAGCTAATAAATTGTGCCGTAAAAAAAGAACAAGTCTGAAAATCGATTTTGCAAATTTTACCAGACATTATCGGGCCAGCAGGTGGCTAATGATACTCGGTAACGCCAAATCGGGAGGCCTAAATCTCCTACTGAAGACCACGAGCGCACGTGGGGGGCCCTCGCAACGAATAAATGTAGCTTTAAATTAGCATTATCGCAATCTTGTCAAAATCGATAGGACGAAGAGTTTGTCCGAATGGTAATGGCATGTCAAATCTAAATCGCGTTATTGGAAATTTGAATTCATTATTATCAATTATTATCGAGACATGCAGAAACTTGGGAAACTTCTCGTTTCCTTAACTCGCAACTAGCAATTAAGTTTTTCAAAAAACGCTTGATCGATTAGTGGGTAATTAATTCGAGTATAAGTATAGAAACTGGATCTAGGTCACGTTATGGTTGAAAATGGACCAGCAAAAGCGCATTCTAAAACTAAGCTTGACGTTTTTCCGTGTACTGGGGTTACACCCAAATGAAAAAATGCTCAAAATTCAAGTCGGAATTTTTCTTATTTCGTCTATATTTTTATTGTTTTTGGTGTTCTTACGATTTCGGTACGAAAAAATCACGTTCGGACTCATTTCGGACACTTTCGAGTCGACTTTCACCCTAGTGCATGTGAGTATTTTGCGAAAAAACTCAAAATAAGGAGCTTTGTTCCAGGTGTTACCTAAATTCGTTACTTTGGCGCTGGCGCGGCACCGCATCAAAAAATTACTAGAAACCACTCGAAAGTTCTGGTTTTTTAAACAATTCCAGGAAACTAACAACGAGCTGAAAATTTTGACTTTCGTGTTACAATCGTTCTTGTTTTTTGTTTGTTTAGTGATTTTGATTTTCGCGATTCGGCCCATTTTTAACGACGCTTTGGCTATAAATTGCCACGTTCCTCGGTTTTTTCCGACTTCCGTTTTCACGGTTTTTAATAATTTGGTTTTTTCGTTTTCCGCTTTTGCTGTCGGTTCTTTCGATATGTTTGTCTGCGTGATGGTCGTGCTGGTGGCGTTACAACTAAAAATCTTAAGTCGAGTGATTCTAGGGGTAAATTTGGCCGAAGACGAGATGTGTCTCAAAAAACTGAAAATGTGTATCAACTATCACAATTTTTTGAACGAGTAAAAATTTTTCTTGGAAAATAATAATAATTTTGGTTGTAGTTTTTTGCAGGAAGTGAATTCGATTGTGAGTCCGGCCCTACTGGTGTACTTCACCCTAGCACCAGTCGCTCTTTGTTTCGAACTATTTTTCATATCGAAAAGGCAAGATTGAAGTTTTAAATTTCCAAAATATAGCGAAGTTTTTAGCCCAAATTTGGCCGAAACTGCGAAATCTTGTATCTACGTTTCTGGAATTGTCATCGAATTGTTCTTCTTTTTTTGCCTACCGGCGACGCATCTCATGATTGAGGTATTTCAAAAGGTTTTGTGTCAAAATTTTCGGAAATTTTTTTTAGTCCGAACAAATGGTCAACGTTGTATACAACACCCACTGGGAAAATTCGTGTTCTTTACCAGTCCGCAGAACACTCATCATCATGATGCAACGAATGCAAAAGGAAAACATTCTATCGGCTGGAAAAATGGTCAAAATAAATTTGGAAACGTGCACAAATGTTTTCAAGACACGAATTTTGGATGCACTGTGTAATTGAGAAAGTTGTAGGCGTTCCGGATGGCTGTTTCTTTCTACACGTGCTTGCAAATTGTTGACGAAAGAACTGGAAAAAAGTGCTGCTAAAATTCGATGGTCAGGCAACCAACATTACAAGTGCATTGTTTTTTAAAGGTGGAAATAATGTATAAATACAGGGTGTTATTGAAAGGTACGTACAACAAAATTGACAGTTATTCGCGAAGTCTAAGAAGTCTGAAAAACTTATTTTGTGTTATCAAAATTATAAGGGGAAAATCAACCCTTATCCAACCTTTTTAGACGCTACTGAAGAATAAATAGGTAAAATTAATTTATTTTAGTAAATCCTAGCAACTGTAACAATAAAACTTTGGTCAAGAGTAAAATATTGCTATAGAAACGAAAGATGATCCTTTTATCAGAGGCGTACAACGAATTTGGACATAAATTTTAATCATTTTTATCTCTAAAAGGAGAACACTTTTACCTGAACTCTTTTTTACTTTTAGCACCCATACTTCGAGACCAATTGCCGATTTTATTTTGTACGTACCTTTCAATAACACGCTGTATATAAAACAGAAAACCCTGTCTTGAAAGAATCTATCTGGTTTTCCAAAAATATGTGCTGTAATAAATTAATTCGTTAATTTTTAGATAAAAAGTTATTGCCTGAAGTGCCTATTTTGTCTTTTTTAGAATCTTGTATCAGATTTTGTTTTTGAATATTTTTTGGCTTCTTAGAACAAGTGTATTTAAATGATAGAGTACTTTAAAACCTTCCACTTTTGGTTCTACAAAAACCAGACATAGTTGATCATTAATTGTTAATCAGTACCTCCCCCCGCCTTTCCTCGGGAAAACAGTTTGTGGACTAAGACCAGGAACTGCTTGAAGAGGCTGACAATGTTGAAGCGGAGTGACGGCTAAGCTTTGTTGAATTCTACAGAGTTTTCGTTAAATAGATAGGTTTGAATAATAATAAAATGATAAATGAGGTCATCACAAAATTGTCTAAAGTAAAAACTCAACTCGAAAATGCTGGATATGTTTCATTGTACTTTCGGTGCGAGGGAAGTTCTGTCGAAACAACTTTCGACCAATTTTTTAAAAATGTAAAAAATCCTTCTCGGGGGTCCCAACTGTCTTTTTTAAAAATGTAAAACCTTCTGGGAGGGGGGGCACATGTTTCTTTTAAGAATGTGAAATCTTTTATTTCTATTTCTGAAGAAAGAACGGGTGGGTGGGCGGGACTAAGTTTAACTTTTGGGTGGGTGGGCGGGGCTAAGTTTAACTTTTCATATAGAATTTTTTATAAGCAAACAATAGCCCCGCCCACCCACCCCCTCTTCATTCCAGTGAATACTCTTAATATTGTTCAGTCATTTTCCAAAATCAGTCTTATCTTAACAGTTACTAGCTCCGCCCACCCGCCCTCTATTTTCTTAGGGGATATATAATTTGCCAAAATCAGTTTTATCTTATTACTTCACCGCACAACTTTCGACCAATTTTTTAAAAATGTAAAAAACCTTCTCGGGGGTCCCCACTGTCTTTTTTAAAAATGTAAAATCTTCTGGGGGGGGGCACATGTTTCTTTTAAGAATGTGAAACCTTTTTTTTCTATTTCTGAGGAGAGAACGGGTGGGTGGGGGGGGGGCTAAGTTTAACTTTCCCTACAGAATCTTTTATAACAAGCAATAGCCCCACCCACCCACCACCTCTTCATTCCAGTGAATACTCTTAATATTGTTCAATTATTTTCCAAAATCAGTCTTATCTTAACAAGTACTTCTCGGGGATTCCAATGGTCTTTTTTTTAATGTAAAACCTTCTCGGGGGCGTCAAATGTTTTTTTTTTTAAGAATGTAAAACCTTCTCGGGGGTTTCAGTTGTCTTTTTTAAAAATGTAAAACCTTCTGGTAGGGGGGGGCACATATTTTTTTTAATGTGAAACCTTCTCAGGGGTCCTAACTATCTTTTTTTAATTGTAAAAACTTCTGGGAGGAGGGGGCACATATTTTTTTTAATGTAAAACCTTCTCGGGGATTCCAATGGTCTTTTTTTTAATGTAAAACCTTCTCGGGGGAGTCAAATGTTTTTTTTTAAGAATGTAAAACCTTCTCGGGGGTTTCAGTTGTCTTTTTTAAAAATGTAAAACCTTCTGGTAGGGGGGGGCACATATTTTTTTTAATGTGAAACCTTCTCAGGGGTCCTAACTATCTTTTTTTAATTGTAAAAACTTCTGGGAGGAGAGGGCACATTTTTTTTTTATGTAAAACCTTCTCGGGGGTCCCAGTGGTCTTTTTTTTAAGTAAAACCTTCTCGGGGGCCCCTAATGTCTTTTTTTTAATGTAAAACCTTCTCGGGGGAGTCAAATGTTTTTTTTTTAAGAATGTGAAACCTTCTCGGGGGTTTCAGTTGTTTTTTTTTTTTTTAATGTAAACCTTCTCGAGGGCGTCAAAGGTTTTTTTTAAGAATGTGAAATCTTCTCGGGGATCCCTGATGTCTTTTTTTTAATGTAAAACCTTCTCGGGAGCGTCAAATGTTTTTTTGTTAAGAATGTGAAACCTTCTCGGGAGCGTCAAATGTTTTTTTTTAACAATGTAAAACCTTCTCGGGGGTCCCAATTGTCCTTTTTAAAAATGTAAAACATTCTCGGAGGCCCCAAATGTCTTTTTTTTAAATGTAAAACCTTCTCCGGGGCTCCAAAAAAATGCCTTTTTTTGTGAAACCTTCTCAGGGGTCTCAACTATCTTTTTTAAAATGTAAAAACTTCTGGGAGGAGGGAGCACATATTTTTTTTAAGGTGAAACCTTCTCAGGGGTCCTAACTGTATTTTTTTTTTAATGGAAAAACTTCTGGGAGGAGGGGGCACATATTTTTTTTTATGTAAAACCTTCTCGGGGATTCCAATGGTCTTTTTTTAAAGTAAAACCTTCTCGGGGGCCCCTAATGTCTTTTTTTTAATGTAAAACCTTCTCGGGGGAGTCAAATGTTTTTTTTTTAACAATGTAAAACCTTCTCGGGGGTCTCAATTGTCCTTTTTAAAAATGTAAAACCTTCTCGGAGGCCCCAAATGTCTTTTTTTAAAATGTAAAACCTTCTCCGGGGCTCCAAAAAATGCCTTTTTTTGTGAAACCTTCTCAGGGGTCTCAACTATCTTTTTTAAAATGTAAAAACTTCTGGGAGGAGGGAGCACATATTTTTTTAAGGTGAAACCTTCTCAGGGGTCCTAACTGTATTTTTTTTAAATGGAAAAACTTCTGGGAGGAGGGGGCACATATTTTTTTTTATGTAAAACCTTCTCGGGGATTCCAATGGTCTTTTTTTAAAGTAAAACCTTCTCGGGGGCCCCTAATGTCTTTTTTTTAATGTAAAACCTTCTCGGGGGAGTCAAATGTTTTTTTTTTAAGAATGTGAAACCTTCTCGGGGGTTTCAGTTGTTTTTTTTTTTTAAATGTAAACCTTCTCGAGGGCGTCAAAGGTTTTTTTTAAGAATGTGAAATTTTCTCGGGGATCCCTGATGTCTTTTTTTTAATGTAAAACCTTCTCGGGAGCGTCAAATGTTTTTTTTTAAGAATGTGAAACCTTCTCGGGAGCGTCAAATTTTTTTTTTTTAACAATGTAAAACCTTCTCGGGGGTCTCAATTGTCCTTTTTAAAAATGTAAAACCTTCTGGGAGGGGGGGGCACATACTTTTTTTAATGTGAAACCTTCTCAAGTGTACCAACTGTCTTTTTTTTTAATGTAAAACCTTCTCGGGGGCACCAAATGTTTTTTTTTAAGAATGTGAAACCTTCTCGGGGGTTCCAACTGTCTTTTTTAAAAATGTAAAACCTTCCCGGGTGCCCCTGATGTCTATTTTTTAATGTAAAACCTTCTCAGGAGCGTCAAATGTTTTTTTTTTTTAAGAATGTGAAACTTTCTCCGGGGTCCCAACTGTCTTTTTTTAACAATGTAAAACCTTCTCGGGGCTCCCAATTGTCCTTTTTAAAAATGTAAAACCTTTTCGGGGGCCCCAAATATCTTTTTTTTTAATGTAAAACCTTTTCCGGGGCTCCAAAAAATGTCTTTTGTGAAACCTTCTCAGGGGTCCCAACTGACTTTTTTAAAATGTAAAAACTTCTGGGAGGAGGGCGCACATATTTTTTTTATTGTGAAACCTTCACGGGGTCCCAATTGCCGGTTTTAAAAATGTAAAACCTTCTCGGGGGCGCCAAATGTCTTTTTTTTAAGAATGTGAAACCTTCTCTGGAGTAAAATGTAATAATTTTTATAAAGGATAAACATATTTTTGAAATTATACTTTTTTCCTTTCTGAACCTGTCAATTGAAAGAGCTGAAAAGTCGAAAAGGTACAGTGAAAAAAAATGAACAAGAGGTAAAATGAAAAGAAAAATAGCAAAATTTGGGAATCCATATTTTTTTTCAGAAGTCAAAATAATAACTATCTAGTAACTTTACTTGATACTAAAGTTCTCCTATTAATTTGAATTATATGATATGAACAGAGATAATCTCTGATATGAAGTTCTAAATTTGAATAGGCGCCATTTGTTGCCCTATATGCAACCAGCAATTCTTGTGTGGTTATTTTATTGTTTTTTATCTTACGAATATCTAGTAACTTTAGTGAATTATGTGTCAAACTACAACATCAATACCACCCGTAGCAAAAAAAACCTCCCCAGCTCGGAAACATTTTATTAATTCCTTTCAAAATCATACTAAAATATCAAACTCCACACTCAACTTAACCTTACTTAATTAAAAAAATCAGTAACTTCCTGCAACTCTCTCTCCCTCGCTTGTTCATGAGCCCACCTCTCCTCAGCAAGCCGGTCCGACAAAGACCACTTAAAATGGAAAATGCGAGCCCCACAAGCGCTACACTTCTTATTGCCAAAAGGTGGTTGCTTCATAAACGCGAAAAAGCACTCCTGATGAAACAAATGTCCACAGTGGACTCGTTCAATATGTTTGGGGGAATTCTCGTCAATTTCCAATTGCTGCAAGTGAAAGTTAGCTCATTAATGATATCTCTGTTGCTCTTACTCTTGGATCACAGGGAAAACAGCGCTGTTTACAAAACTGACAATTTTCTGAAGGCAGCCGCTTCACGCAGTCGATCAGAAACTCAACGGATTTTTGGAGGGACGGCGACGGCTTGAACGGGGGGTCGTTCGGTTTTTTCTTAATGGGGGGTTCCACGCACTTTCGGGCTATTTCTCTGGCTTGACCGACCATGTGTCGGTTGAAAGCGGACGAGAAATTCGTGGAGACGTCTTGTATACTAAAAACTACAATTAAAAAGGCGCTAATTTCAAACAAAGACGTACTCAATAGCGGCTTTTGGGTAATCATCAGGAACTACAACCCGACAGTTGAGGAAGTAGCTATGATTGACTGCTTTCAAGTGAACGCTGGACGTTTTCTGCTTGAGTTTGAGCTCGTCTCTGTCCGTGAGAACCTTCTTAAGGAAGTTTATTTCGTCATAACAGCAACAAAGGGGGTTTTCGTCGATAAAATTCCTCAGAAACTTAATAGTATTGAGAACTTGTGCTTTCCCTAGGTATTTTTTAGCTTCTTGTTCGCATACATTCGTCAGTCCGTGCAGCAACTTTTCAGACAAAGTTTTCGACTTGAGTTCGAGCAGAAGCGGAGTGCTGGGGTAGGTTTCAGGGAACTGGATGCAAATGACCACGGACTTGAATTCAGTCCTTTTTATTTCTGCTCGAACCATCGTCTTGACACACGACACGAGTTTGCTGCCGGGAACCACATTTTCGCACAGCTTTTTGACTTCGCACAGCTCATCTTCGAGAAAACCCATGAAATAGGAAGTGTTGACAAATTGAGGTTAGGTTTATTGACTTGGTCGAGTTTACTTCCGATGAGCTTTTATTATCGTCGGTTTATTTTCAGCTGCAAGTGGTGTTCACGAAAATAACACATTTGTTTTAAATTAAAAGCGGAAAATTGCGAAATTTGGGTGACGGAAGTGTCTAAGGATTCGATCGTGAGCTTTTGTTTTGGTGTTAGGTCGTGACTTTAGACACAGGAAGATTGAGATTTGAGGTGAATGCTGAAGAGGAAGGAGAAAACTTGCTACATTTTACGGCTTTTTTCGTTTGTTTGTTTTGTTTGTATGATGAAAGTGCGTTAAAATCATTGTCCAAACCCAGTTTGAAAAAATTTCTGAAATCGTGGGTAGGCAACCAAATATACACCAATGTGGTAACCATAGAAGGACTTTCCCTATTTTTATTGTCGTTTGTAATCTTTATGGCACAGCGGTGACTATTAAGCTTATTATTATTATTTCCCAATTCTTCAATTTTTCGCTTCCATGATTTTTCAATTTGTCGAATTTTTAAATTTTAGATTTTTTGTTTTCTTTGATGTTTGAATTGTTAGTTTTTGATACGATTTTTTTTTCAAAAATTTTCAGTTTGTCAATTTATTCACTATACGATACTTCAGTTTTGCTCGATTTCGATTTCTCAATTTTTCGATATATTACTGTTGGGATTTTTCGATTTATCGATTCTTCGACTTCTCGATATTTTCCGATGTTTCAGTTTTACAATTTTTATTTTTTTTTATTTTTCAGTTTTCAATTTTTGACGTTTCTAAATTTTTCGTTTTCTCAATTTTTCGATTGGAAAACGGAAAAACCTAAAAATCAAACATAGAAAAATTGAAAACTAAAACATCCAAGAACGTAAGTAATATCAAAAGATCGAAAAATCGAAAATTCGAGAAGTCAGAAATTGAAAATTGAAAAATTTTAAACTAAAATTCGAAAAATTTAAAAATTAGAAAATTGAAGAATCAAGAACTTGAAAACTGAAACATCAAAAGATCGAAAAATCGAGAAAATAAAAGTCGAAAAATCGAAAAATTGAGTAATCGAAATAGCGCAGAACAAAGTGGAAAAAAATGATAAATTTAATATTAAAAAAAATCGGAAAATCAAAAAACCGAAAATTTAAAAAATTGAATAAATAAAATACCGAATTGAAAAATCAAGGAAATCAATTTGGAAAATTGAAAAACTAAAAAATTAAAGAGTGAAAAATTGAAAAATTTCAAATCAAAAAATTGAACAAAAAGTTGATTGAAATTGGGAAAACAAAAAATTGTAAAAATGAAGAATATAAAACACCCAAACGAAAAATTGAAGAATCGGAAAATCGAAAAAGTGACATATTTTTAAAATTATAATAATATTGAATATTTGAAAGGAAAATTGAGGATATGAAAATTGAAAAAATCTTGAAACTCAAAAATATAAAATTGAAAACTGAAAATTGGAAAATCCAAAAATTAAAAAAAATTACATTAAAAAAAGAAATATAAACTCATTAAGCACATTAAAAAAATAAAGAAAGTAAAAAACCGAAACAAAAAATTGAAAATCGAAAAATTGAAGCCAAAAAAATTGAAAAATTAAAAATTAAAATTTCTAGAAATTACAAATCGAAAAATTGAAAAAATTAAAATTGAAAAATCAAAAAATTGTAGAAATAAAGACAATAAAAAACCGAAACAAAAAATTGCAAAACGAAAATTTAAAAAAATTAATAATTAAAGAATCGAAAAATTGAAAAAGTAAAATATTTTAAAAATTATATATTAAATATTTAAAAGGAATAATTGAGGATATGAAAAATTGAAAAATCATGAAACTCCAAAATCTAAAAGCGAATAAAGGAAAAATTAAAAAATTTAATAAAGGTTGAAAAATTCAAAAATTGAAAAATCAGAACTTGAATATTCTAAAAGTCGAAAAATCATAAAATTGAGTAGTCGAAATAGCGCAGAATCTAAAAATCGAAGTTAAAAATGGAAAATGATGAATTTGAAATTAAAAAAAATTCGAAAAATCGAAAATTAAAAAAATTGGATAATTAAAATACCGAAACAAAAAAATGGAAAAATTGAAAAATTTTAATTTTAAAAATCAAAAGATTGAAAATTGAAAAAAATAAAGTAAATCAAAAAATTGTTGAAATGAAAAATTGAAAATTCAGAATGTAAAACCCGCGAAATCGCATATCGAAAAATTGCGGAATCTAAAAATTAAAAATCCAATATTTAGAAAATTGAAAAATTAAAAAATTTTAAATGAAAACCCGAAGGTTGCATTTCAAACACTTAATTGAAAAAATTAATTCAAATTGAAAAAACAAAAATTGCAAAAATTTTCACCAATAAATGAAAAAATTCTAAAATCGTAAAATCGAAAAAGTGAAACATTTAAAAGAAAAATTTTAAAACTGAAAAATTAAAAAAATTAAAGATAGCAACGTCGAAAATTTGAAAACTGAAAATTACAAAATTCAGAAATTAAAAAAACTTCACATTAAAAAAATTAAAAACCGAAACAAAAAATTGCAAAATCAAAAAAAAAAGATATGAAAAATAGAAAAATTATAAACCTCAAAATTTTAAAATTGAATAACCGATATATTACTGTTGGGATTTTTCAATTTATCGATTCTTCGATTTCTCGATATTTTCCGATGTTTCAGTTTTACAATTTTAATTTTTTTTTATTTTTCAATTTTCAATTTTTGACGTTTCTAAATTTTTCGTTTTCTCAATTTTTCGATTAACTGATTTTTTTATTTTCCCATTTCTCTATTTCTCGATTTTTCAATTCTTCCTTTAATTGTGATTTTTCAATTTTTCGATTTCTGAATTTTTCAATGTTTCAGTTTTGGTTTTTTTCACTTTTCCGATTCTTCAATTTTCTTTCCATTTTTCAGTTTTTCAAGATTTCAGTTTTGAAATTTTTCACTTTGTCGATGTTTCAAATTTCCTTCCATTTATCAGTATTTCAGTTCTGGGATTTTGTAATGTTTCGGTTCTTCAATTTTTCCATTTTTTGATGTTTCGATTTTTAAGTTCTAGATTTTACGTTAATTTTTTTGGTTTCCTTGATGTTTTGATTTGTCGATTATTCGATTTTTCAAGTTCTCTGTTTAGATTTTTTGGTTTTCCAATTCTTCGATTTTTAAATTGTTTCATTTTTAGATTGTTCAATTTCTCGATTTTTAGATTTTTCAATTTTTACCGATTTTTTTTCATTTAAAATGTTTCAATTTTTCAATTATTAACTGTTCGATTTTTCAATTTTGATCTAACTTGATTTCTTAATTTTTTGATTTTTTGACTCCTCCACTGTTGATGTTTTGATTTCTCGATGTTTCAGTTTTTGAACATTCCGATGTTTGGATTTTTCGACTTTTTGGCTTTTCGAGTGTTCAATTTTTTGATTTTTGAATTTTAGATTTTTGTTTTTTTGATTTTTTTGGTGTTTCGATTTCCCAATTCTTCAATTTTTCGAATTTTTAAATTTTTGATTTTTCTTTTCTTTTATTTCTCAATTTTTGGATTTTTTAAATTTTACATTTTTCAATTTTACTATTTTTTGATGCTTGGATTTCTCAATTTTTCAAGTTTTCAGTACTCGTTTTTTCAGGATTTGAATATTGAAAACTTTTCAATTTCAGGATTTTCAATTTTCAGATATGTTAATTTTTTTGATTTTCCCATTTCTCCGTTTCCCAATTTTTCAATGTTTCAGTTTGGGATTTTTTCACTGTTTCGATTCTTTAATTTTCCTTCCAATTTTAGGTTTTTCAATGTTTCAGCTTTGAAATTTTGCAATATTTCGTTTCTTCAATTTTTCAAATTTTTGATATTGTGTTTTCTCGGTTTTTAAATTTTTCGATATTTTAATTTTTCAGTTTTTAAAGTTTTAGGTTTTTAGATTTCTCACTATCTCGACTTTTCGATTTTTCAGTTCCAGGATTTTTCAATTTGTAGAATTTTTAAATTTTAGATTTTTTGTTTTCTTTGATGTGAGTTCTGGATCATTCGATTTTCTGAGTTTTCAGGCTTAGATTGCTTTTGTTGTTCAATTTTTGGATTTTTAAAATTTTTGTTTTTTAAATTTTCCTATTTATCAACTTACTGGGAATTCAATGTTTTGATTTTTTGATTGTTCAATTTCTCGATTTTTTTTAATTTTCACTATTTGATACGATTTTTTTTTTTTCAAAAATTTTCAGTTTGTCAATTTATTAACTTTACAATACTTCAGTTTTGCTCGATTTCGATTTCTCAATTTTTCGATATATTACTGTTGGGATTTTTCAATTTATCGATTCTTCGATTTCTCAATTCTTCATCTTTTTGGTTTCTGGAATTTCTTCATTTTTCGATTTCTCAATTTTCCGATGTTTCAGTTTTACAATTTTAATTTTTTTTTAATTTTCAGTTTTCAATTTTTGCGTTTCTAAATTTTTCGTTTTCTCAATTTTTCGATTAACTGATTTTTTATTTTCCCATTTCTCTATTTCTCGATTTTTCAATTCTTCCTTCAATTGTGATTTTTCAATTTTTCGATTTCTGAATTTTTCAATGTTTCAGTTTTGGATTTTTTCACTTTTCCGATTCTTCAATTTTCTTTCCATTTTTCAGTTTTTCAAGATTTCAATTTTGAATCTTTTCACTTTTTCGATTTTTCAAATTTCCGTCATTTTTCGGTATTTCAGTTCTGGGATTTTGTAATGTTTCGGTTCTTCAATTTTTCCATTTTTTGATGTTTAGATTTCTCGCTTTTTCAATTTTTCGATAGGTATTTTAATTTTTCAATTTTTAAGTTCTACATTTTCCGTTAATTTTTTTGGTTTCCTTGATGTTTTGATTTGTCGATTATTCGATTTTTCAAGTTCTCGGTTTAGATTTTTTGGTTTTCCAATTCTTCGATTTTTATATTGTTTAATTTTTAGATTGTTCAATTTCTCGATTTTTAGATTTTTACCGATTTTTTTTCATTTAAAATGTTTCAATTTTTCATTTATTAACTGTTCGATTTTTCAATTTTGATCTAACTTGATTTCTTAATTTTTTGATTTTTTGACTCCTCTACTGTTGCTGTTTTGATTTCTCTATGTTTCAGTTTTTGATCATTCCTGTTTCGATTTTTCGACTTTTTGGCTTTTCGAGTGTTCAATTTTTTGATTTTTGAATTTTAGATTTTTGTTTTCTTGATTTTTTTGGTGTTTCGATTTCCCAATTCTTCAATTTTTCGAATTTTTAAATTTTTTATTTTTCATTTCTTTTATTTCTCAATTTTTGGATTTTTTAAATTTTACATTTTTCAATTTTACTATTTTTTGATGCTTGGATTTCTCAATTTTTCAAGTTTTCAATACTCGTTTTTTCAGGATTTGAATATTGAGAACTTTTCAATTTCTGGATTTTCAATTTTCAGATATGTTAATTTTTTTGATTTTCCCATTTCTCCATTTCCCAATTTTTCAATGTTTCAGTTTGGGATTTTTTCACTGTTTCGATTTTTTAATTTTCCTTCCAATTTTAGGTTTTTCAATGTTTCAGCTTTGAAATTTTGCAATATTTCGTTTCTTCAATTTTTCAAATTTTTGATATTGTGTTTTCTCGGTTTTTAAATTTTTCGATATTTTAATTTTTCAGTTTTTAAAGTTTTAGGTTTTTAGATTTCTCACTATCTCGACTTTTCGATTTTTCAGTTCCATGATTTTTCAATTTGTAGAATTTTTAAATTTTAGATTTTTTGTTTTCTTTGATGTTGTGAGTTCTGGATCATTCGATTTTCTGAGTTTTCAGGCTTAGATTGCTTTTGTTGTTCAATTTTTGGATTTTTAAAATTTTTGTTTTTTAAATTTTCCTATTTATCAACTTACTGGGAATTCAATGTTTTGATTTTTTGATTGTTCAATTTCTCGATTTTTTTTAATTTTTACTATTTGATACGATTTTTTTTTCAAAAATTTTCAGTTTGTCAATTTATTAACTTTACAATACTTCAGTTTTGCTCGATTTCGATTTCTCAATTTTTCGATATATTACTGTTGGGATTTTTCAATTTATCGATTCTTCGATTTCTCAATTCTTCATCTTTTCGGTTTCTCGAATTTCTTCATTTTTCGATTTCTCAATTTTCCGATGTTTCAGTTTTACAATTTTAATTTTTTTTTATTTTTCAGTTTTCAATTTTTGATTTTCTTTTTCGTTTTCTCAATTTTTCGATTAACTGATTTTTTAATTTTCCCATTTCTCTATTTCTCGATTTTTCAATTCTTCCTTAAATTGTGATTTTTCAATTTTTCGATTTCTGAATTTTTCAACGTTTCAGTTTTGGATTTTTTCACTTTTCCGATTCTTCAATTTTCTTTCCATTTTTCAGTTTTTCAAGATTTCAGTTTTGAATTTCTTCACTTTTTCGATTTTTCAAATTTCCTTCCATTTTTCAGTGTTTCAGTTCTGGGATTCTGTAATGTTTCGGTTCTTCAATTTTTCCATTTTTTGATGTTTCGATTTTTAAGTTCTAGATTTTCCGTTAATTTTTTTGGTTTCCTTGATGTTTTGATTTGTCGATTATTCGATTTTTCAAGTTCTCGGTTTAGATTTTTTGGTTTTCCAATTCTTCGATTTTTAAATTGTTTCATTTTTAGATTGTTCAATTTCTCGATTTTTAGATTTTTCAATTTTTACCGATTTTTTTTCATTTAAAATGTTTCAATTTTTCAATTATTAACTGTTCGATTTTTCAATTTTGATCTAACTTGATTTCTTAATTTTTTGACTCCTCCACTGTTGATGTTTTGATTTCTCGATGTTTCAGTTTTTGAACATTCCGATGTTTCGATTTTTCGACTTTTTGGCTTTTCGAGTGTTCAATTTTTTGATTTTTGAATTTTAGATTTTTGTTTTCTTGATTTTTTTGGTGTTTCGATTTCCCAATTCTTCAATTTTTCGAATTTTTAAATTTTTGATTTTTCTTTTCTTTTATTTCTCAATTTTTGGATTTTTTAAATTTTACATTTTTCAATATTTTTTGATGGTTGGATTTCTCAATTTTTCAAGTTTTCAATACTCGTTTTTTCAGGATTTGAATATTGAGAACTTTTCAATTTCTGGATTTTCAATTTTCAGATATGTTAATTTTTTTGATTTTCCCATTTCTCCGTTTCCCAATTTTTCAATGTTTCAGTTTGGGATTTTTTCACTGTTTCGATTCTTTAATTTTCCTTTTAATTTTAGGTTTTTCAATGTTTCAGCTTTGAAATTTTGCAATATTTCGTTTCTTCAATTTTTCAAATTTTTGATATTGTGTTTTCTCGGTTTTTAAATTTTTCGATATTTTAATTTTTCAGTTTTTAAAGTTTTAGGTTTTTGGATTTCTCACTATCTCGACTTTTCGATTTTTCAGTTCCATGATTTTTCAATTTGTAGAATTTTTAAATTTTAGATTTTTTGTTTTCTTTGATGTTGTGAGTTCTCGATCATTCGATTTTCTGAGTTTTCAGGCTTAGATTGCTTTTGTTGTTCAATTTTTGGATTTTTAAAATTTTTGTTTTTTAAATTTTCCTATTTATCAACTTACTGGGAATTCAATGTTTTGATTTTTTGATTGTTCAATTTCTCGATTTTTTTTAATTTTTACTATTTGATACGATTTTTTTTTTCAAAAATTTTCAGTTTGTCAATTTATTAACTTTACAATACTTCAGTTTTGCTCGATTTCGATTTCTTAATTTTTCGATATATTACTGTTGGGATTTTTCAATTTATCGATTCTTCGATTTCTCAATTCTTCATCTTTTCGGTTTCTCGAATTTCTTCATTTTCCGATTTCTCAATTTTCCGATGTTTCAGTTTTTCAATTTTAATTTTTTTTTATTTTTCAGTTTTCAATTTTTGACGTTTCTAAATTTTTCGTTTTCTCAATTTTTCGATTAACTGATTTTTTTATTTTCCCATTTCTCTATTTCTCGATTTTTCAATTCTTCCTTCAATTGTGATTTTTCAATTTTTCGATTTCTGAATTTTTCAATGTTTCAGTTTTGGATTTTTTCACTTTTCCGATTCTTCAATTTTCTTTCCATTTTTCAGTTTTTCAAGATTTCAGTTTTGAATTTTTTCACTTTTTCGATTTTTCAAATTTCCGTCATTTTTCAGTATTTCAGTTCTGGGATTTTGTAATGTTTCGGTTCTTCAATTTTTCTATTTTTTGATGTTTCGATTTTTAAGTTCTAGATTTTACATTAATTTTTTTGGTTTCCTTGATGTTTTGATTTGTCGATTATTCGATTTTTCAAGTTGTCGGTTTAGTTTTTTTCCAATTCTTCGATTTTTAAATTGTTTCATTTTTAGATTGTTCAATTTCTCGATTTTTAGATTTTTCAATTTTTACCGATTTTTTTTCATTTAAAATGTTTCAATTTTTCAATTATTAACTGTTCGATTTTTCAATTTTGATCTAACTTGATTTCTTAATTTTTTGAGTTTTTGACTCCTCTACTGTTGATGTTTTGATTTCTCGATGTTTCAGTTTTTGAACATTCCTGTTTCGATTTTTCGACTTTTTGGCTTTTCGAGTGTTCAATTTTTTGATTTTGAATTTTAGATTTTTGTTTTTTTGATTTTTTTGGTGTTTCGATTTCCCAATTCTTCAATTTTTCGATATTTTAATTTTTCAATTTTTCGAATTTTTGATTTTTCTTTTCTTTTATTTCTCAATTTTTGGATTTTTTAAATTTTACATTTTTCAATTTTACTATTTTTTGATGCTTGGATTTCTAAATTTTTCAAGTTTTCAATACTCAATTTTTCAGGATTTGAATATTGAGAACTTTTCAATTTCTGGATTTTCAATTTTCAGATATTTTGATTTTTTGATTTTTTAATGTTTCCATTTTTGGGTGTTTTGATTTTTCGATTTTTCCGACTATATACTTTAAAGAAGAATTGCTGGTTGCGTTTAAGGCAACAAATGGCGCTCAATTCAAACTTGTCTCTGGTCTAGCGTTCCTCCTTATGTTTGTGTTGGCAATGCTGAGCAGTTGTCAATAGATCGTTTATTTTCAGGAGTGAGGAGGAATGAAGGTGTTAAAATAAGCTTGTTTTTGATTTATTTATTTTATTTATAATAATGATTGGCACACATTCTTTTACAACAGAATAAGGATTATGGCGATGTTTGTACAATAACATGTTCGTAAATAAATATAAATCTCGAATGTACACAACTGTCGGTAGTATGTGGAGTAATCGTTTCGGCAAAAAGAACAAAACGAAAAAGAGTCGAGTTTTCGCTCAAGAATGTAATTTCGAAGCCAATTATACGAATGAATAAAATTCGAAAAAGAATACTGACGTGTGACAAAGACTATGTGCTTATTTGAAAAACTTTAGCTCAAATTTTAGTCTCAACTAGTTATTTTTCGTTTTCCTAAAGTACATTATTTCTGCAATTTCTTTCATTATGTACAACGGTGACATCATCTTTGGTAAAAAAAATATCGATAAAATAGGTACTGCGCTATATACGTAAATAATGAGCAATAAATAATTTACAAGTTACTTATCTAGTGAATATTGTTACAAATCAAGAAACAGCTAAACAATTCGTTGTTCAGCAGTATAATTAATAATAATTATACACTATTAAAAATTTGATGGTGTTTGATTAGCCTATCTTATCATAATATTTACTTTGTGCTAAGTACATGTTCTTCTTTAATATTTAATATTTGCTCAAAAGTGGACACTCCACGTTTTGTCGGAGTGCTACACAGCGCACATGTCGCAGGAACTAATTTACATTTAATGGAAAAGTTACATTAATTATTAGTCTCATTTAACAATATCACAATTTTAATATTGCAATAATTTTTAAGTAGCTAGATATGCTTCCATTACTTTATTTAGATGTTAATATGTAAAGCTTGCAAGTACACTCTAGCAAGCCCATCATTAATTTGACTAGAGTTTCCGTAATAATGCCCACGAACAGAAAGAGACATTACCGAACGGACTACTAAAATGTGTGTTTTAAAGAACGCACTTGAAAGCAAAGCCTCCTTCAAGAAATGGATGCTACAAGTTTGCGCTTAAAACGTGATTGTTCGTGCTATCACCTACATGATATATACTATATATACACATACATTTTCTTTTTGATATACGTTGATAGTTGGATAAAATCTTTTGATATACAGTACGCCGCCACCACATTCTAGTAGTCCCGCTCCGCGTCGAACATAGTGTGTAACATTTCAATAACAAATGTAAAGCTGGCGAAGCTCAGGCGAAGCCTGGCCACGGTACTAGGAAGACACTTGGGATGAGGCCTAGCAAGCAGCCGTACAGGCGAGGAGAACACTCAGAGTGGCCGTAGGCTATTGCACAATTGGCTCGCAAGTGTCCAGGAATGTTAGACCGGTCCTCGAGCGGGACATCTCAACCACCGGGAGGCGCTGGTTCAGTCTTGTTGCCCCCCATCGAGTCACTGACGTAGACGACCCCACCACTACTATTAGCCACTCGAAGAGCTGCACTATATTGTTTAGTAAAGTCACTGACGGGCGTTGCGGCGCCGCCGCCGCCGCCCCCGTCGCGTCCATGCGCACCGGCCGTGCTGGCCACCACTCCGTCAAAGCCCACTGCGTGCGCATCGTCACCGCAATGGTAATTATAACTGCAGCAAAGCACTCCGTCCTGCGAAAACACCACAAACGGTTAACATTTTACGGCTCCGGACTGAATCCGCCCACAACCTGCGAACGCAAATTGTGAAGGAATTCGCTGGGGCTCTGTGCTAGTCGGAAAATCGTGACTGTGCTCGTCTATGAGTCCCACAATAGACTTGGTGGGCGGGAGATCGCCGCCTGGGAACCGGTTTCGCCGTTTCCCAGACGAGGAGCTCGAAATCTATCGGCTCGCATCAACAAGACCATGCACATTCATCATTCACCAAACTCTAGGACCTACGTCTCGACAGTACACTATAGTAGTAGTAGTAGTAGTAGTAGTAGTAGAGAAGGGAGCATGCAGTATGTATAGGGCGATACACATCTATAGAGTGCTATATATATAGTAATTTGGACACTACTCGGAACGAAACAGGCACTACTAGAGGTGTGTATAGTTTGAGTGTAGTTAGAGTGACGTGATTACCGATGCACACAACACGCGACATTGCTCACCAGTTCGGCGCAGAACGGCACCTGGAAGGGAACGTAGTGTTAATTGTTAGTATAGCCTAGCTATCAGCAAGCCAGCCTTGGGCTCTATGCAGCGGCTAGCCATGCTCTCGAGGGCGCAGGAGGCGCGACAGCTGCGCCCCCTGCATCCCGAGGGCTCCACTATCTATTAGTTTCCGACTAAGCATTGATTAAATACATATAGATAGACCCATGCTATTGTTTGGAGCGAACAGGCCAACGGCTGGCGAACAAGAGATGGCGCACCAACAGTCGGCCGTCAAACGCCGGCGAAAAGCTTGGACACCAATCGCGCGCGTAGATAACCCAAATCGCAGCAACAATACATTTAATAAAGCTACCACTCGACAGAGGGCGACGAAAACAATGTGTAAAAATCTCATAGTAACCATTTATATAATTTGCAACGTTGCCAGATGAGCCTAGCACAACTTTGCCGTTATTTCTAGTCGATTAGATTTTATTTCGTTTAAAAGTTTCTGGTAAATAAATGGAATTATTATAATGAATAAACAATACAAACAAATTATTACTTGTTATTTTAAATACTTGTTAGTGTTGATGAAAACATAAATGGTAATTAAAGTTATTCTAAATACGGTCCGGTCCGGTAGCTCAAATTTTACAGTACGAGTGATATGTTTCAGGACGAGTAGGTAGCCGAGTCTTTAATTTCGAAACGAGTACTGCGAAAAGAGTTACCGGACGTATGTTGTTATGTATTTTATTTCATACTGTCAACATACTTTTTTATTCGATAATATTATTATTATTTTGAGAAAAAATCCAAATCGAGTCACTTTTTCTGACATCGTTAGCAACCGCTCTTTGGTAAATGTTTTAATTTGTTTATTCGTGCAAATCAGCATCATATGTTTAAACACATAGTACTTATAACACTTTACAGGACTTATTGTTTTGTATAATCCGACTCGATGGACGAATGTTTTGTGCAATCCGTCTCGAAGGACCAATGTTTGTGCAACTCGGCTCGTCCTACCAGTATTTTTTGTAATCTGGCTGATACGACAATGTGATACCGAATTGTACTTTGATATTGCTGTTACAGCTAATATCCGAAATACGTTATTATGCATAATAACTAGATATTTTAGGAATTATGCGTAATAACTAAACTTGTCGGTTATTATGCATAATAACCGGAAACATTAGGAATTATGCGTAATAACTGAATTTTTCAGTTATTATGCACAATAACGGAAACGTTTAGGTAATATTGATAACAACTAGCAGAGGAAAAGGAATTATGCATAATACCTGAAACATTAGTCATTAAGCATATTGTCTAATAGGCCAGGGCCGATAATTTTTGAGAACAAAAAAATTTAGAACAGGATGATACCCATTGGAAAAGAAAGAAAATATAACAAAAATAAAAGGAAAAATAATTTACGGGCGATCTGAGGTCGGGAAGTCGAAGAGGGTGAGCTTTTAAGGGTAGAAAACGGTTTATCACGATTTCCGGCAAAACTACAAGTTCTATCGAAAAAAGTTAATGGCGAAGTTCTAGGTAATAAAAGGATCTACAACTTTTGTATTTAAACTTTTTTTAAATAACCTCAAAATTTATGCGAAAAATGCAAATAACCGAGTTTTTGGTTTTTTATTTTTATCTCCCACAAAAGTTTTTTTTTCACGAAATTTGGTGAAAACTTCCCTATTTATGTCTCAAAATCACTGTAATTTTTTTTATTCAAAATATTTAATGTTTGTATTGATGAGGCTGATACGTGTTTAAACTCCATATTAATTTTAATAATAATGAAACAACTTTCAGAGTTTTCGGTACACTTTCGGTACACAGTACCGTCTTCAGGCAGAAGAGAAACTGCCTGAAGACGGTACTGTGTACCGAAAGTGTACCGAAACACGTGTAGCAGTGACAACAAATATATTATTTAAACTCTGAAAGTTGTTTCATTATTATTAAAATCAAAATATTTATTTTTCACCCTTATTTTGATTTAATATCGAAAAACCACCCTAATTTTCAATCGAAAATTCTCACGTCAAAATGTTTGTTTAAAAAAAAAAATCGGTGTGCCTTCTGTTCGTTGAAATCTCTACTTTCTGATGGTGTAAAAAAAAGTATGCATTACTATGGCAAATTTTCACAGGAAATCCAAAAAAACGAAAAACTCGAATTCGAATTTTTTTTTAATCATGTAAAATTTGGAGCTATTATTAAAATTTACACTTTAATTACTCGAAAAAAGTAAGATTCCATGTTACACTGATAAACTCAAAAATTTAAAATCCCTGTTGGTGGGAGATTTGTCAATATGAAAGATGATTTAATTCTTGCTAATTCATTTTCGAAATCTTAATTGATTCAGTGTTATATTATCATTTTTACATTTATAAATATATTTGATTAATTGTAATCCACTTTTTGCGATATCTTCTTTGTTTGCATGTTTTTATAAAAAATATTGTCCAAATTTGACAAATTTTTATCATCTGACTAGCAGACCCAGTGAATATTTTAGTAGTTAAATAAAAAATAAAATAAAAATAAATAAATTATAATTAAATTAAATTATAAATTATACATAAAAATTTATCGTACGACAATGATTATTATATTCAACAGCCATCTTGAAACCTGCCTTGTGTATCTGTGGATGAAAGTAAAGATACTAATATCATTACTACAAAATGGGGGTTGGTGGTAGAAGGGTGAAAATTTAGGGTTAATTGTATTTTTTGAAGCCAAATCTTAAAAAAATAAAAATAACAAATTTTGTCCGAAAAAAAAAATTTTTTTTGGATGGGCCACTCTTATCACCTAGGGGTATAAAAAATAGTTTACAACCCATTGTCAGACCTACCGAATATAGACAGAAAATTTCATAAAAATCAGTCAAACCGTTTCGGAAGAGTTTGGTTACACACACTGTAACACGAGAATTTTATATATTAGAAAACAATGAATTTACGATGTTTTGCTTTCCTTTTCCGGCAAACCCAGATGTTGTATCGCAACCAGAAAAACAATACAGAAATGCAGCGATATTTTTGAAAGATTCATATTTGAAAAATAAATCTTTTACATTTCTAGAACCTGGTTTGAGAAAATAAATGTCATAATTATTTGAATTCAATTGATTCAAAAGGACCAAAATATCTTAACCCACAACTATGACAGTTTTATTGGTATCTCTAGCAGTTTCTATCCAGATCTTAATTATGTTAGCATCAGAATCTTCTTCTGCTTGTTTACAGGAAAATCCTTGTGACTGTAGATTCCAAAAGTTTCTTTTAAATAAATCAATTCGTCACGGTTCTCTTCAAGTAACTCAGCCTGCACGTGTATTTTTATAGACGATGTTGTTCATTCTTCTGATGGGCTAAAATTTTCCGTAGGCCATTCAGGTATGTAAGTTATCTTAAAATAGCAATAAATAGGCACCTATGCATATAATTTAAAAATTATCCTACAACTTTAACAAAATATTGTAGATGTCTTATAAAGTATTAAGTGTATTAACTTATTTGGTTGTTAATTATAGTAGTATATTTCGATTTGCAATTTTTTAATTTATCAATGTAACATGAAATATTACGTTTTTCGAGTAATTAACGTGTACCCTTTTATAAATAGCTCCAAATTTTACATAATAATTAAAAAACAAATTTTTGAATTCGAGTTTTTCGTTTTTTTGCGTTTCCTGTGAAAATTTGCCATAGTAATGTATAATTTTTTTTACACCTTCAGAAAGTAGAGATTTCAGCGAACAAAAAGCACACCGACTTTTTTAAAAAAGCAAATATTTTGACGTGGGAATTTTCGATTGAAAATTAGGGTGGTTTTTCGATATTAAATCAAAATAAGGTAAAAAAATAAATATTTTGTATCAAAAAAATGACAGTGAGTTATACATAAATAGGTAAGTTTTCACCAAATTTTGTGAAAAAAAAAAAAATTGTGGGAGATAAAAATAAGAAACCAAAAACTCGGTTATTTGCATTTTTCGCATAGATTTTGAGGAAAGAAAATGTAAATACAAAAGTTGTAGATCTTTTTATTACCTACAACTTTGCCATTTAACTTTTTGCCGGAAATCGTGATAAACCGTTTTTTACCCTTAAAAGCTCACCCTCTTCCCCTTCCGGACCTCAGATCGCCCGTAAATTATTTTTCCCTTTATTTTTGTTACATTTTCTTCCTTTTCCAGTGGGTATCATCCTGTTCTATTTTTTTTTCACTTTTTACCATTTTCAAAGGCTTATAACATATCCAGCTGATTTCAAAAAAACGGGTGATGAGCAACTCAGGTTCTCATAGATCAATGAAAAGCAATGGGAATATGACGTTTATATAACTGTAATTTGTCCCTTTTTTTTAAATCAACTGTACATGTGGTATGTACGAGAAAGCGAGGCAGGGTGGGTAGCTTTTTGGAAAATATGCATAATTCCTGTTTCTGTGTTAGTTATTATCAATATTACCTAAACGTTTCCGTTATTATGCATAATAACTGAAAATTTCAGTTATTACGCATAATTCCTAATGTTTCTGGTTATTATGCATAATAACTGACAAGTTTAGTTATTACGCATAATTCCTAAAATGTCTAGTTATTATGCATAATAACGGATTTCGGATATTAGCTGTAACATTGCTCCAAGGACCTTTGTTTTCTTGCGTGCGAGATAATAGACAGCGTTCGGTTTCGATGTTTAATACAGGACGGTTACAGAAGTACTAAATTTACATTTGTATTTACAATAACAGGTAAAGCAAAAGAGACTCAAAAGGGTCAGTGGCCGCTTCCGGAAATGGAAGACTTGTCCTTTTTGGCCACGGAGGTAGAAGAGTGTCTCTTCTACCTCCGTGTTTTTGGCTCAATTTTATCGGACTTGTCCGTTTTTTTTTTTTTACCGGAATAGTTCGATCCAGTAAAACGTCAAACTTGACATAGTATGAAGTAAAATAAATAAATTTTATGATGTAAATACAATTAAGTGTATCGATAATA